CGTAAAGTTTTTTTGACCTACATGATTCTATGCATTGCAGCAGCTAAAGTCTTCAAGAAAAATAGTAACAGAGAAAAACTTTGAATTGGCTACGGTTGTACATCATCACTGAGTGGCACGATTTCGTTCCATTTTTTTGAATTTTAAGTGGAGCCGTTCGCTGTTGTTTTGCGATGTGTGCCACTGAACAAATAGACAATAAGCTTCTTGGCACGGGTGCTAATATATCATGGTTAAAGCAGCAGGATACTGTATTCTATAGTTAACTTCTCATCCGAAAAAAAAAACACCAATACAGTGCAGAACAGTACAGAAGTGTTGTCCAGAACACATCATTGTTAACGCTAAATTATAGTAGTAATTGAGGAGCGGAGCCGATGACAATTAAGAGAAATTTGCAATAAAGTATAAGGAAATTTATTTTTTTTTGTAGGAGTGTATTCCAGCTGCAACAGATAGTTTTATAAGCTCGTAAGACCCTGTAGGCCAATAAAATTAGGAGATCCTAGCAAAATCAGCCAATAACGACAGTATGGCGCGATGGACGTTTTGTTACTTTTGTCAAATTTTATATCCCAGTTTCTCAAACGACAGCGCACCTGGTCCCGGAAAAGTCTTAAAAGCGCCCTAATACTCATCAAAATCAAGCATCATTGTAAGGTTTGCGAGAGAGCACAACAAATGATAATCTGGAAGAGCGAGATTTGAGGAGTAGTATACTAGAGTACTTACTACCTTCCAATTGGCCCTTGCAGGACAAGATGACGTTTGCCGTCTGGAATCAAGATTGAAAATATTCACTACTAGCTGGCTTACCCGGCTCCGCCGTATCCGGACCAAACTTGGCACACATACACTTCGGGCCCCGGCGGGTGTCACAGTCCACTTTTCGTTATCGATCGATGTCGATTTTACCGATTTTTATCGATTTTTTGCAGAGTTCACCTACAGGGCTAGGAGTTGGCACAGGGGGGAAGTGAGCATGGGGACTCCGAATACAATATTAGTCTTCAGAATTATCGATTACTTTTATTGATTTTATCGATTTTTTGTAAATTTTGACATGCGAGGCTGGGATTTTGCACAGGGGGTAATCGAGCATGCTGATTACGAACACTATATTAGTTTTCAGGATCGTCCATTACTTTTATCGATTTTATCGATTTTTTGTAAAGTTTGACCTGCGGGGCTGGGAGTTTGCACAGGGGGTAACCGAGCATGCAGATTACGAATACAATATCAGTTTTCAAGATCGTCCATTACTTTTATGTATTTTATCGATTTTTTGAAATTTTGAGCTAGGGGGCTGGAATTTGGCACAGGGGTGTAATCGAGCATGCTGATCACCCCCCTTGGGGATGATCAGCATGCTCGATTACCCCCCTGTGCCAACTCCCAGCCCCCTAGCTCAAACTTTGCAAAAAAATCGATAAAATCGATAAAAGTAATCGATAATCCCGAAAACCAATATTGTATTCGGAATCCCCATGCTCGATTATCCCCCTGTGCGAACTCCCAGCCCCGTAGCTCAAACTTTGCAAAAAAATCGATAAAATCGATAAAAGTAATCGATAATCCTGAAAACCAATATTGTATTCGGAATCCCCATGCTCGATTACCCCCCTGTGCGAACTCCCAGCCCCGTAGCTCAAACTTTGCAAAAAAATCGATGAAATCGATAAAAGTAATCGATAATCCTGAAAACCAATATTGTATTCGGAATCCCCATGCTCGATTACCCCCCTGTGCCAACTCCCAGCCCCGTAGGTGAACTCAGCAAAAAAATCGATAAAAATCGATAAAATCGATATCGATCGATGACGAAAAGTAGCCTATGACACCCGCCGGGGCCCGAAGTGTATGTGTGTCAAGTTTGGTCCGGATCGGTTCAGAAATGGAATTTTCTATTCGGAACATACGTACATACATACATACATACATACAGACAGACAGACAGACAGACATACAGACAAACAGACATTCAGCTTTATATATAAGATGCTCACAGGATCTTCTGCAGTATGAGCTCGTTTAAGACGATTGCACCTTCGATACGAGCCATGTACTCTGGTGACCTTCACTTTCAACGACACAAAAGAGCACAGAGTTTATACCAAAAACGCAAATGCTATCCGGGGCTTCGTCGCAGATGTTAAAATCATGACTATATCGGAATTGATGTAAATGAAGTACGTGTATGATTCATGTCTGAAAATATCCCAGCAAAGCAGAGGAATTGAGTTTAACTCTAGCACAGAAAATCGCGAACAAAAGTGCTAGTTTATCTCGCTAAGAAGTGATTCAAGGCTAGCGAAGTTGTGTGAACCCTTCTAGTCTTGCCATACGATCAGAATGAACCTAATGTTACAAGGTTTCGTTAAGACCCAGCTAAAATCTACGACCAGAGCCAAGTGCCCCGTCGGCTCTGATCCTTCTCTTCTATTCTTCTGCGTCTCCGCGCTTTGCGGGCTACCTCGCTACCTCAAACGCGGGGCACGGAACATTTGCCTCTGGCTTTGGCTTTGGCGCGACCTAATATGTGAGGTATTATCGAAATTTTATAGCGGACTTTCCATGCACAGCACTTGCTAAGAAATTATCAAAGTGTAAGTTCTCATTTGCTCATGTAAATCGTTTCTATCTTTGTAATTCTTATTCATTTCTATTCTACCAAAAATGATGTCATCGAATTCACCGAGACAAGAGAAAAATACTATTTCAAAAAATGTGTGACAGTAACAAAGTAAGTATTTTAGCGATTGCAAGAAAACTTCACATTATCTGATCATACACGTTCACTCCAAACTTTCAGACTATTTTAAGAAAACATTGCTCACCATGACCGTCACTCGGACCCAAAAACTCTAAACATTAATTCACCTTTGAGCATCAGTTGGCAATGAAATGAAGGCATCCGTTTTTAACTATTATTCAGTAGTTGCTTAGATCGTGTCTTACTTTGCATCAATGTGGAAGGCGTTTATCAAAAGCAAAGCAGCTTTTCACTTGATAAAAAAAATCCATCTTGCTAATCAAGCTAGCGACAAATAATCAGTGCTGGCATATTCATATTTGGAAAAATTTTTTACGAGGACTGTGTTTTTTGAAACAGATTTTGTACTATAATGTTCTGACATAAAAAATTAAGTGACAAGAAATGTTGTGGCTAAGGCGACATATTCTGATATCTGTGCGAGAGAACGGTGATATTCCAAGATTACGAGATTATTCAAGATTTAGATAAAAAAAAATCCATCTTGCTAATCAAGCTAGCGACAAATAATCAGTGCTGGCATATTCATATTTGGAAAAATTTTTTACGAGGACTGTGTTTTTTAAAACAGATTTTGTACTATAATGTTCTGACATAAAAAATTAAGTGACAAGAAATGTTATGGCTAAGGCGACATATTCTGATATCTGTGCGAGAGAACGGTGATATTCCAAGATTACGAGATTATTCAAGATTTATCTATGCTTGACCATCTCCTTCAAACTAGTATTGTTCTAATAATTTTATAAAAAATTTATTGAAAAATGATGCACAATCGTTGATTAAAATTTAGCAAGCGAGGATAAGTTTAGCGATTTACAAGATATAAATTCGTCATCCATTACTTTCACCTCCGTTTCGTTAATGTTCAGTATCCAACTTCCGTTTACGCAAAACAGCAATGTGTTGTTCTCCGCCTTGGCTTGGAAACGAGTTTGCGAAGCATACTAAATTTGTTAAGAATTACGAAATGTCAGTGCTTTGAAAAATGTTATGCAAATGAAAAGTGACGAAAAAACTTCGTGAAGAAAATCGTGTTCCATTGTGTTTGTAGCAACTATACGTTTTCTGAAATTTCTTAGGAAACCGTCCCAAAATTTAGAAGGCTGGCGGAACTCTACTATGGTAGGAATTATGGGTTCGCTCTTACAATTCAGTGTATTCAAATGCTTGGAGTGCAAAAAAGGATAACTTTTGGAAAAAAGATGAAAAAACTTTGAGTGCAATCAAGATCGTTTTTGCGCTCATAGCAAACGTGACACTTTGTCAAACAATGCGAAATTACTCTTGGAGCGGCCAATACCATTGTAGTTATTCGAGTGTGATAACATTCTTTCTCTTACTTTTTCGTTCTCTAACCATAAGACATTAACTTTCAAGAGCAGAAAATGAATACACCGTCAAAGTTTTTAATTTTATATAAAGTGTTTATACTGCATTGCATTGCACTTCAAGATTTCTTTTCGAAAAATTTGCTATCACAATACCGGGAGAATTCCCTTTTCAAAGCATGAACCTTCTTAATCGAAAACTCTGAATGGTAGTTTTACTAGATTTTTGAGTTAGTTTTTTGAGAGAAATGGACTAGAAATTGGAAAGTAGATTTCAAAGGATGGCCCAAAAATATTACTCTGAGCCTCGACCAAATCCAATTTTGTCCAGTAAGATTTTCTCTGGACAAAGTCCAAAGGTTTGAAAGTATACACAGAGCTTAGAAAAATCATACCAAACGGTAAGCGACCATAATGTCTAACTATGTATGAATTATTACAAACCTTACTGCTCCTTGAGATGACGACGTTGTCTCCCGATCCGCAATCCAGCCTTGAAGAGCACTTAGGGGATAACTTGTCATCGACTTCATCACACGCAGGGCATATTTGTTTCAAGGAAGGACACAAGCTGGCACATTTCGAATATTTCTCGTTATGTTGTTCTCAAAGCTTTGCATGAGAATGTCAATGCCTTTTAAGTTTGCTCTTTTACCTTTGTTGACACAAAGCATGCTTTCCACTTCATGAGAATATTTTCCGTCATCATAAATCCAAACTTCATTGCAGTAGACATCCTGCGGATAAACAATCATACTCGAACCCGATTTGAGTTGCACCCTGCAGGAAAAGCTTTTTTTTATTGTGGTGAGGATAAACTATGAAAACTTGCGCCAAAGATGAATATGGACATTCCACCACCAAATCCTTGCAGCCATCTGTATCATTTAGAGACTTCAGAATAGGAGCTGAGCAATTCTTTTCGGACGGACAAAGATCAAATTCTGTGTAGTTTTTAAGTGACGAGCATGCTGTGCAGCCTGATTGGATCTCAGCTTCCCGGGCTTTTCCTAAAAATATTTGCTTCCGGGAGAACTAGCAAACTATTGTGAGCCAATAGTAGCTTGGTTCAAATTTGCCTTCCGCTATCTGCAGCAATTAGAATAACTTACTTTTACCTAGGGTTTCTATTGCAACTGAATAACAAACGACGTGACGCAATACTGTGTCAAATTTTGCCTGGCCATAATAACGCCATTCGCCATTGACGCATTGGATATCCGCCAGCTGACGAAAGTCACGCACCCTTACTGAAATTACGTGGGTTTTTATCAGCACAACATATTTTCAAAACCAACTCAAATACGTATGAAGCTTAAGAATAGGCACTTGAAGGAGCAGATTAATTCATGCAATGTTGTTTTCTTCTTTTCTTGGTTGCAATTTTGCGTTCACCACTATGCTTCTTTTTTCCCAACTCTTTTCAACAGCTGAGCTAAGCAAGCGCAGATTAATCATCGATACGACTTCTGTTAAAATGCCTCAAATCCAAAATCGTAGTTAGAAAACAATTCCCCTTATGATTTTTGTTCTTTCGATAGATTGCATCACTTCAAGAAAGTTAGTATAAAAAATCATTGTGTTTGTGAGGCAAATAATACGCAAAATTTTCCGTTGTCAATTTTTCTTTCTTATTTTCTGTAAGGTTCTTTTGAATTACACCAAGCTTTGCCTTAGCATCTGCTACAACAGAAAACTGCGGTGTGTTCTAAATTCGTTAGAACTATTTCGCCTTCACACGGTTACAATAATGTACTGTGTAAAAAATGTAAAATCTTTGCATTTTAACCAACAAAAGATTATATGAAGTAAGTTGATGCAAAAGTCCCGTATAAAATATTTGAAATATCATCGATCGTTTTGTATGAATTATGCATGCACTCAATCAAAGTATTCAAAAATACACAAATTGTGATATCTTAACTGTGATTAATTCATAGAGTTAAGTATGAAAGAGTGAGTCCGAAATTAATTTATGAGCGACAATTTCAGGACAGCTCGAAAGGGATCCAAAACTTCGAACAAATGATGCAAGTTTTGCAACCAAATTCTTGAACGAGCAAGGCTTGTTCTGCTCTCGAAAAGAACGTTTGAAAAAAAGTTATCTTCAATCAAAGTTGTCAAGAGCTCATCAAATCAGGCAAACTTATGCAGTGCCAAGGACTTCGATTGCCACAAACTGTGTTCAAGCAAAAAGAGGGAAACAAAAAACTCAATATTGCGAATTTCATTGCAGATTTCAGATCTTGATAATAACACGTTAACGACCGAGCCATTTTTGACCACATCAGAATGGAATGATTGAATTGCATTTGATTGCTTTTCGGGGCTGTGAACAGATTGCTGCCACGCGGGGCTTACAACAACGCACGCACAGTGGCAACCTCAAACTTGGGTAATTAAACTTTATCAACAATAACTAAGCAACAACTAAATCAACGAAACTTAACACAAATAAATAACTAATCCTAAGGGAACTAGAGAACCTAACTAGCTCAGAGGGATGTGATGTTCTCAAGCAAAAGGAACTGTGATGAAAGAATCGAACCCAATGATGACTATAAAAAACGCGAGCAAGGAAATGAAACTGTGACAATCTAAGTAAAGCAGACAAACGACAAATAATATGACTGTGATAATCAAGAAAATGAGTAAAATGCTATAATACGTGTTTTAGGGACTGTGACTGTGTGCTATATTCAAAAGGCTGTGATCTGAGGAAAGGAGGAAGTATTAAACCAATAAGAGACACAACGGGAATAAGGCGAGAGGAAAAGGTAAAATAATAAAGCAAGAAAAGGAAAGAAGAAAAGTGAAACAATAAAACAAGAAAAGAAATGTCTCGTACACACGCATTATGGTCGCTGTGTCTCATTATCGACTTATATATCGAAACATCGGAATTATAAACAAAAGTCGTCGGGTCTGTGAAACTACTGATAAGCTGCAAATAATGTTGTTGTTCCTTCGATCACATTCCGCAGCTCAAAGAACGATACGAACGTTAAGTTCATATACTCCGGCCCCGCATTAAGAATGCGAGGAACCTGGATTGTCCTTGCTGTGTACTGTGAGACTTCTGTCGTGAGTGATCATTTGCAGCTCCCGCTTGTAGCTTTGCACGCTCTCCTCAAGCTCCCTTTGGCGTTTCCGTAGTCGATCCATTTCGTCAGGCAGTGGACAGATCCCAGCATGATGATCGTAGGCCGTACTTCGGCCAACATTCTTGCAATAGAAGCATGATGTTGGTTTCGGGCATGCGTTGGAATGGCGTTCGAGACAACGATGACAACGTCCTTCGTTGTTCAAGATGGCTACTCGATCTTTGATTGAAGTCACTCTTGGGCATGCATCCGTATAATGTTGACCGAACTCCTTGCAAAAGATACACATGATGAGCTGGCCCGCTTTCAATCCTCCATCACCTACTCGTCGTACCGGGCACGAAATCTTTCGCAGCTCAGTCTGTGTTCTTTCGAGTTCCTCCTCGTAGTTGGCCAGAAGCTCCTCATAGTGCTGACGTCGGTCATCTGTCTCCTGTTCCGGATGTCTCCGTTTGCGACCTTCTGTGTGCTCGTGGTGTCCCCTGCGATCACTGAAGCTCTCCTTCCTTGCTCTACTGCCGCCTGTGGATTGAGAGCGTCTGTGATCTTGACGGCTGCCGACTGTGGATCGAGAACGTCTGCGTTCTTGACGGTGATCCTTTGGCGGTGCCTCCTCTCTACGCTGTTCAGGACTTGCCTTCGAGATCTCCTTCGTCAGCTGATTCAAGAACTTCGAATTTTCATTCGTAAGCTGACTCAAGAACTTCGAGTTTTCCCTGATTCTTCGCTCCGATTCTTCTTTGAACTGAGCACCAAGTCCTAGCAACTGCTGTTCCAGGCAGGAAATCCTCTGCTTAGTTGTCCGAGCTGTGAATCGAGTTCTGCCTTTACGTCCTTGGTGCACTCCTTTCTCTCTATCAACAATTGTTTTGCATTCTGATTGTAGGCCTCTTCAATCCATTTCCGAGTATGCTCGTGTTGTTGCCGGACTTCGCGCTTGAGCTGTGAGATTTCGTCTGCAAGATTCCTTATATTCCGACCATTTGCTTCGGTGACTTCCGCCTGACGCGATCCTCTTTGGCGTTGCCACTCTTCCGTGAAGGCTGTGAGCGTTTGTTGAACTTCCTGATAAGCCCTCATTTCTGCCGCCCTGCTCCTGGTGGTTTCTTGCTCCACATCATGTAGTTCTTCTTTCTCATCATGCGTGAGCATTTCGTACCCTCTGCGATAGGTTTGGACGATCCGCCCAACGTCATCCTTTTCATAGCTGTGAGAGACGGCTTCCGGCGCTGGGTAACCTCGGTCTGTGGGTCTCGTGGGCCTCATAGTCACATGTTGCCCAATCGCATCCAGGTACATCACATGATCGATTTCCTGTGCATCTCCAACTGCGACTAGTATCTCGTACCACTCATGGGCCAAGTAAAACTGGTCCATCCAGTGGGTCAACTCTCTCAACTCATCTAGATTTCGCTCTCATGTCCTTCAGCTTCAGGATGTAGTTGATTGACTCCTTGACCGTGTACGTCATTTCCCAGCGATTCCCTTTCAACTCGATATAGTCCAGCTTCGCTTGTGTCAGAGGTCTTCAAAATCGTAGCATTTGTCGCCGAAATCCCTGATTCGCTGCTGCACCTGTGCCACAGTGGGTTTCGCCGGTGACTGTTGAACGATGGTTACTTTCCTCTCGTTCTCCTCTCGGAGTTTTCGTTCGAGCTCTGGGAAGAAGTCCGCCATGTCCTGTGAAGAACGAACATTAGAGGTGAATAACCCTGGGTTCAACCCTTCTACTGTGACACTGTGCCTCGAAAGTCGCAACCTGTGAAGCTGTGCTCTTCAATCTGCAAAGAAAGCATTAATTGTGCAATCGACATATCACCACCGTGCCTTCCGGCCTCAGCAGACAAATTGGCTTTTGCCTGATTTTCTGTGACCCCCAAGTGTTATGGCTTACGTCTCTATGAGCCGGTGGTGACTGTTTGGGATATTCGGGAGCTTATCACCGGTTATCATCTTCGTGAAGGCATGCGCAGTTGCGCGTTCGGCAATGTTTGGCTAGAGGAGAGTCCCGGTGCGGCATGATAGTATGCAGAGCTTTGAACGGCTAATGTCTATCTTCAAGTGTGTAAATAATAATATCTGTGAAAAGGGATGATTCTTCAAGATTTTCAAGGGGACCAGATGGATTAATAATCGATATGGAACTATGACTGTGATTATTTCTAATTCATATTTGTGTGACTATGTCTAGTTTTAGCTTCAAGCGCTTTTCTTCGAACTTTGGTTGCTTTGCAACCTTTCTGTGAGAAGCCGGAATGGTCGTATCCATAGAGTTCGGAGGAGACTAACCATTAGTCGAAGCAGTGAGAAGATTATGCGGAAAATTAGTCGCGTTGTCATGCAGAAGCAAGCATTGGATAGAGCCAGGTAGGTTAATAGCAATGCTACTAAGACGAGTATTCCAGATATGGCTAGCGTTGACCACCATGTAAGGAAGGTCTGTGCCAGGTGCTCGAAGTCTGGTAAATTGATCTCCGAAAAAATTTCACTTTCACCATTCAGAATGCGCCATGCTGCTCCCTCTAGACTTCCGGTATAGTGAAGCAGGCCAGTGATCTTGAAAGATTTGATTGTCGTTCCACATTTAATTGTGCAATTTCGGTAGAACAGCGCTTTGTCGCTAATAAAACTTATGTTGGTTTGTGTTCCTTTTTCTGTGCATTTGACTGTGAATGCACCGTCCTCACATTGTATCTCTGCCCATGACGTCGGTGTAGACGATTTACATGTGATTAGAGCCTTAGCTCCTTTTGGGCATTTATAGCATCCACTACAATGCGTATCCTCGCTTGTACACACTGCCTGTGATCTCACTGCTGTTGTGTCGAATTTTCCCTTGATTCGTAGGACGAATTCAGCTGTAGGGAGTTGTGGTATCCTCGACACAACAGTTCCGTTCATCGGGTGTAGTTCGAGATTCGGTCGCAATACAGGTAATCTGTACCGTGGTTCTCGAATATGTGCGGTGAGATTCACTTCCTTGCAGTTGCAAGTCATTTTTACTTCTGCTGGCGTGCATTTGCAGTCTTCTCTAACCTCACAGGTAAGGTTGGCTGCATTGTGATATGAGTCGCACATCAGTGGGGGTGTAAGAAGTCCTGGTGTGATTGCTGTCAGTGTACCGTCTGTGAGAAAGGTAGTATCCAACATGGGGGTTGGTGGTTACTAATGGACGAAAGTGTGATGGTAAATGGCGGCGAAACTTTCGGTTGGTTCGGAATTAGATGAAAATTGAGGTCCTGTTGGGGTTCGTCCGCTTCGTTGATCTTCAGCTGTAGGTCCACCACCGGCCTCCATCGACTACATTTGAAAGCTTCATAAACCTTCTCGTCATTTGGTAGTAGGTAAATTCTATAGAATAAGCATCCAGAGCTAGGATAAAAGCAATCACAACCTAAGCCACCGCAGCTTTCCACACATCCTGTGATGCCTGGGAAGCTGTTTGCTCTGTGCAGTTCTGCTATCTTCGAGGTTCTGTTCACCTTTCCGCATTTGTCTCCTGTGCACGATCCTGCGTGTGGGCATCTTTTGCTGTCCAACAGTGCGTATCTGGTGCTCCTCGAATATAGTATTGTCTGCTTCTCGCAAAATAGATTAAGATTCTTCCATAATAACTTCACTTCCAAAACACTCGCCTCTTCGTTCCGCAATCGAATGCACGCTTCCTGTTTGAAGGGATTGATCTTCAGGATTTCTGTCGTGTCTATGGTGCAGTACTCCTTGCTCCATGTTCTGTAGCAAGATCGGCTGTGATGAGTGAAGATGTCGACATCCTGACATGCTTGCAATGGTTTTGCATAGATGATGGCGAGGAGTATGGCTGCTTCTGAGAGGGAAATCCTTCTTCTGCGCTGACGACGAGTTGTTGAAAGTGGTATTGTAAGAAGTTTCCATACGAACTTGATCAGCCCTTTCAGACACATTCTCGTAATTTTCAGGAGGTAAATCAGTGGCGTTCCCATCAGCACTGGTACGTGGAAAAGGCAATAGCACACGGCTACTCCTGCGTAAACTATGAGTCCTGTGGCTAAAATGGCTGTCCTAGGCCAGCATTCTGGATTTGCTACCATCAGTGAACAGAAGACGCAGTCAATTTGTCCACAGAAGGGCGCTGCTCTACATGTAGTTTCCATTATATTTACGTCTGTGCCGTCGAACGTCTTCCATTTGACGCGATGATGATGAAGTGTGATATGTGGCGGAAATCTTACCACTTCTTCGTGTTTTGGATTTCTGAACTCCACACAATAGTCTTCGGCGCAGATTTCGTATGGCTGTTGAGTGAGTTGCGTTAGAATTACTCCTTCTTCATTGCATTGTAATGAATGGTTGCTTTTGTTCCGCGCTCCTGTTATTGTTTGTATGCAAAGGGAGAGAACCATCATCGTGAATAAGGATGTTGTTGATCTGGATATGTTTTTTCTCCTTTGTGTTAATTCTTCTGTTCCCTGCTCCCTGTAATTGATGTTTTTTCTCGGTCTGAGGTTATAGGGGAAGGTATTCTCCTGCTCCTGAACTATGGATGAATCCGGTTTCTTCTGTTGGGCTGTGGTTGCGTCACTACTGTTCGTGATTTCCAACGGCACGATTCGGTTTACTGGACGACGTAGTCTTCTTTTGTTGGGTGTTTCGACGACGACCTCCCTGATGTTTTTCGCGGGTGAGTCTTCGAGTTGTACTATTCGTGCTGTTTTCCATGTGTTTCTTGGTTGAATTGCGTCCCAGAGCAAAACGACGTCTCCTATTTTGGGTGTCTTTTTTGTTCCTCGTTTGTCGTTCATTCGGGTTTTGTGTTGTTCTCTGAGGCTAGTAAGGTACTGCTCTCTCCATATTTTCCAAAATTGTTCTGTGAGGTTTATCGACGTTTTGAGTGCTGCTTCTACTTGTTGTTGTGTCGCTAATTGCTGGCCTCCTCCGGGGTATGGTAGATCTTGTCGCTTTCTTCTTCACCGATGTATTTTAGGGGGTAATCTAGTATTATGTTGTTGTGTAGGAAATCGATAGGTCGCAAAAGAGGTTGCTCTTCCCACTTTTCCTCTTGATATGTGAGTGGCCTCGAATTCAGCATCGCTTCTATTTCTGTGAGCATCGTCCTTAACTCATCAAATGTGATTGTTCGCACTCCAAGCGATTTGTACAGCGAATTCTTGATGGATCGTATCAACCTCTCGTAAAATCCACCCTGCCACGGTGCATAAGGGGTGATGTGATTCCATTTAATCTCTCGTCGTGCAATTTCGCTTTTGAATTCAGTGCTGTGAATCGCATTTTCTATAGTGTCCTTTAGGATTTGCTTTCCTAATAAAAATATCGGTGCATTGTCACAGGTTATTGTCTGTGGAACTCCTCCTCTCGCGAAGAATCTTCGTAGTGCGTTGATGAATGCCTCTGTGGTCATATTTCCCACCAGCTCGAGGTGTATCAGCCGCGTTATCTGACAGGTGAAGATGCATCCGTAGACTTTATTGGATCCTTCCATGTTGTCTGTGATCATCAGGGGCCCAAAGTAGTCCAATCCAATGTGCTCGAATGGATTTGCCCTTTGTACTCGCGTGGTCGGTAGAGCTTCCATATCTGGATAGTGGAAGGGCAGGTTGTTCATCTTCTGACACGGTACGCATTCTCCTATGATTTTCTTCGCTTGCTGCCGTATTTTTGGTATCCAGTATTTCTCTCGTACTGAGGAGATGGTGTGGGCTAGTCCGCGATGGTAATTTCTGTGAACCTCTGTGATGATGAGATACGATAGCGCTGTTTTTGGTGCGATATATATCGGTGTTCTTGCCGTTAGTGATATATCGGCTTTCTTGAGTCTTCCGTTGCAGCGCAGCACTCCTTGCTCATCTTCACGGATGTTCAACTCCTTTTGTGATTTTATCATGTGCTCATCCACATAGTGTTTTTGATGGTCTCGAATTATGCACATTCTGCTTTCGTGCATTTCTGCTCCTGTGATGTTCTGCGACCTTGAAATCACTTTCAATGCTGGTATGTTCCTTTGAATTTCTGTTTTCCTTTCTTCGGTGAAGTGAATGGAAGATTTTCCTATGAAGCGTAGTGCATAGACCAATACTCTCTGTGCCTTCTCAAGAGAGCTGTATCTTGTCAAGTCTATTATTTGGTCATTGGGCTGTTCTGTGGATATGTGCGCAATTGAGTCCAATGTCGCTGTTATTACTTCTTCATCTTTCTCTATTTCGGTAAGTGTAGCGTAATCCACTTTGTTTATGAAGCTTGGTCCTTTCCACCATGTGTGGTCACTCAGTGCTCCTGCTGTCAGCCCCCTGGATCCGCAGTCAGCAGGATTCTCCGACGTCTTGATATGTCCGAAGAAACACTTTATATTCCTGTTTCCGAGATCACTGGTTATGCGTCTTATTTCCGTCAGTCGATTCGTAACCAGGACTCCTACGGTGTGCCGGGTTGGAGGGGATTTTATCCATCCCAGTACGACGTCTGAGTCTGTGTAGTATATGACATTTTCCATCTTGCAGACGGATTGTAGTTCTGTGCAGATGAAGTGGGACATTCGTACGCCGAGCATCACTGCGTTCATTTCTAACTTTGGTATCGTCATCGACGTTTTTATTGATGGTAGTTTTGATTTCCCCATAACGAGATTGGATTCATCTTCTGTGGTGAGATACGCACATGCCGCTATCGCGCATTGGCTAGCGTCTGTGAATACGACCAGTCGTGTCTTCTTATCTGTTGTAAGAATTTGCCTGTGTACCTCTTTATAGAATGTCGATATCTCGGTGGATATCTGTCGCCATTGGTCCTGCAGTGATGGGTTGAGGGCGGTGTCCCAATCCAATTCCTCCTTCCAGAGTGACTGCAGAAAGATTTTGGCAGGAAGTAGTAAAGGTACCAGTAATCCCAATGGATCATATACCGACGCTAGTTGCTGCGTGACTGTGCGTTTAGTAATCCTTTCTTTTGAGACGAGCATGGATCCTTTGATAAAAAATTTGTCTGTCTCCGAATTCCATGGAATGCCTAGGACCTTGGGGCACGTGGACTGCATCCTATCGCTTTCTTCGATGGCTTTATTAAAGTGTTCATCATTAGAGCGATACTCTTTAAGATTCATATTGAGTTCGCGAAAGAGATTTTTCGTATGGACATATTTGGTAAGTGCTTCATGGGACGACTGTGCACCGAAGAAGAGGTTGTCTACATATAGATTGCTCCGTATCTCTGCCGTCATATCGTCCTTGCTAGCTGTGGTTTCAAGGTGGTAATCTATTGTAGCGCTCAGCAGAAATGGTGAGGCGTTGAGGCCAAAGGTAACTCTGGTGAATCTGTAAGTTACCAGGTTCTCCTGTGTGGGTGGTTGTGCAATGTCTCTCACCCATATACCCATATACAGCGTGTAGCGTCACGGTCCCTCTCTTGTAGTCTTACTTGAGGAAACGCCTTTTCGATATCGGACATCACTGCGATCTTATGAAATCGAAATCGAAGTATCACTCCTGTTAAGTTGGGAAGGATGAGGGGCCCTTGGTGTAAAACATCGTTCAAGCATGGACAGTTCCTGTAATGTGCCGATGCGTCGAAGACGATTCTTATTTTCGTTGTCTCCTTCAATGGCGTAATGACCGCCTGGTGCGGTAGGTAGTGTATAATCTGTCCTTCAGTGGGCTCCTCTGGTGATACTTCTTCAATAACACCCTTTCGTAGTTGGTCTGTGAAGGTGTTATCGTATGCTTGGAGATCTCATCATCCTTCTGATATATCTCCAGAACTTTCTTCAATCTTTTTAGTGCCAATGCCTTATTATCAGGGAGATCTGGATGATTTTCCTTCCAAGGCAGGCGTACGTAGTATCCATCTTCCCTTTTTTCGATGGATTCCTTGAATCCTTTTAGTACTTCATCGTTCACTCGTTGTATCTCTGTTTGTTGTGAACCAGCGTATTCTTCTGTGCCAGTAGATTCTAAAGACCAATAGCGGTCCCATGTTTCCTTCTCGGTTTCAGCCTCGTGTAACATACAGGTTATTGCTGGTTTACTGGTCGAAGGAGATTTTTGATTGCTAACTATCTGCCGACCACTGATGATGTGACCCAACTTTGTGGGTATCAGCTGCAACCCAGATGGTAAGTTCAATTTTTTGCCTTGTTCTATGAAGTTCCAGAGATAGTCGTAGCCAAGTAGAATCTGTGGTCGAAGTTCTCCTTCTTCTAATGGCAAGGATAAGTCGAATTTTCCTTTTTTGATGAACTGCAAATCGTTCCTGTTTAGGTTTGCTCTGTGTACGGCGCTAGTTATGTAATCGTTTCTGTAGAGCCGTACTTTATGCTCTTTGCCATTTCGATCCATCAGTATCAGGTTGGTCACAGCACATGATTTCATTTTATGAGACGGTGATCCAAATGTACTAAGTTTTAAGGTTGTTGTGCCAATTATCGGTAGATCCAGTTCTTCGGCGAGCCCCTCTTCTATGAAGGACAGCTCCGAGTTGGTATCCAGCAGTACGACTACATCTTTGGATCGTCCTTGGTCGTTAATGATCTTAACTGCCCCGGTGAGTAAGATCACTTTGCTTTGTGTCCATTCATTTTTGTTTTTTACTTGCAGCACCAATGGAGCTTTCGGTGTGGTATCTCTCACTGGCTCTTGGTCCTCCGCGAGATGATGCTGTTCTTCTCGCTCCAGTATTTTGGTTACTGCGTGTTATTTCGAGGAGTGATAAGGCTTGCTTACTCTTTTTATTTCAGTTTTTATTGGTCTTTTTCTACGTATTTCTGAGGCCCTGATGATGATTTGCTACGATTGTCAGGTTCCCTTGTTTTGTCTTCTATGCAAGTTGATGTGTGGTGTTTTTTGTGGCATTTTCTGCAGTTCCCGCTAAGACATGCAGTTAGTCTGTGATTAGCGGAGCCACAATTAAGACACCTGTTTGACTCCATAAGGAATCTTCTTTTCTGTGTGGCTGTGGGTACCTGCGGACAGGTGCTCCATCTGTGCCCTTTACTCCCACAGCGCTCACAAGGGATTATTGTTTTCCATTTTCCATTCGGCTGTGGGGTTGCTCTAAATGGTGTTGCCTTGTGAAGCGAGTGTTCACTAAATTGCCTTTCAGCTGAGAGCATGTGATTCAATTGCTCTTCTTGTGAGATGATGTCATCAATGGCCTCAAGCCATTGGTCCAAAGTCCACTCAAGCTGATTTTCTTGCTTCTGTCTTAGTCTTCTTTCCATAGCTGCTTTCCTTATGCGCGTATGGAATTTTTGAAGAAAGATTTGAACCGTTAATTGATTGTTGAGCTGTTGTTCATGCTCCTCCAGCTGTGCTGCTATTGTAGACAGTTTGTCCCATAACTGTCGTTGATCCATTGTGCTAGGATCTCTGGCTATGCAGCTGTGAAGGCTTCTGTTGAGTTCCAGAATAATGCCTTCCTTGTTGCCGTACCGCTTGACAAGGTGTTGAATAGCCTTGTCGTAATTATTTGCTGATACATAGAATCGTGCTATTGATTGCTTAGCTTCCCCGCTCAATGACGTCAGCAAATAATTGAATTTCTGCAGCTGTGACAGGTCTTGGTCATGGACGTTGGCTTTGTATAAAGCCCAAAAATTATCCCATTCCCACTTCTTTCCTGTGAAGGTTGGGATAGGGATTACAGGAAGCTTGTTGGCTACGACCGAACTTTGGTCGTTAGGCCCACTTGTTCTGTGCATACTTCCTGTGTTGTCCTCTTGCAGCGTTTTCTTGAGATTTGACCTGTGCGCATGCAGCCTCATAATGGTTCCTCTACAGTCTCTATGTATTTGTCTATTCTGTCTTCATCTTCATCCGTGGTATCTTCGAGCTTATCGAAAGCTTCTGTGAATTTGGTCAATGAGACTTCTAGAAGCTGTAGATACTCGTCGCACATTGACACAAATAGCGCCAGCTCCTTGCTGTGTTCGTGCTGCGTGTTCGTCTGCTGCACAGTTTGAAGAAACTGTGATGATTCCTCTAGCCATGCCAGGACGATTTGGTTCTTTTTGGTTACCAACCCCTTATGAGACCTGACCGTGCTAGTCATACTGTGGATTACCCTCTATGTTAGTATCTGTGTCCGAGGTTGCTGTGAGTTAGTATACGAACTCTTGTAAGTTGGAACTGTGGAATCGTGCGCGTTAGTAGAGGCGTTATTGTGTGCAATAATCGTACCTGTGTTTAGTCGATGCACCACTTGAATTGCACTTGATTGCTTTTCGGGGCTGTGAACAGATTGCTGCCACGCGGGACTTACACCAACGCACGCACAGTGGCAACCTCAAACTTGGGTAATTAAACTTTATCAACAATAACTAAGCAACAACTAAATCAACGAAACTTAACACAAATAAATAACTAATACTAAGGGAACTAGAGAACCTAACTAGCTCAGAGGGATGTGATGTTCTCAAGCAAAAGGAACTGTGATGAAAGAATCGAACCCAATGATGACTATAAAAAATGCGAGCAAGGAAATCAAATACTGTGACAATCTAAGTAAAGCAGACAAACGACAAATAATATGACTGTGATAATCAAGAAAATGAGTAAAATGCTATAATACGTGTTTTAGGGACTGTGACTGTGTGCTATATTCAAAAGGCTGTGATCTGAGGAAAGGAGGAAGTATTAAACCAATAAGAGACACAACGGGAATAAGGCGAGAGGAAAGGTAAAATAATAAAGCAAGAAAAGGAAAGAAGAAAAGTGAAACAATAAAACAAGAAAAGAAATGTCTCATACACACGCATTATGGTCGCTGTGTCTCATTATCGACTTATATATCGAAACATCGGAATTATAAACAAAAGTCGTCGGGTCTGTGAAACTACTGATAAGCTGCAAATAATGTTGTTGTTCCTTCGATCACATTCCGCAGCTCAAAGAACGATACGAACGTTAAGTTCGTATAATAATGATCTACGGCTGCGGTTTAGACTGTTCAATAGCTACCGCAATGACGTGTGTTCTATATGACAAACAGGCCATCAGTGTTATCACTGCATAGAAGTTACCTGAGAACTTTTTGCTCACATATGATAAATTGATGCGCGAAAGTGCTAAAAGGTGGTCAGGGCATGCATACGTGCGGATGCACACGGTCGTAAACTTCTAAGCAGATTGAACTAACTCTAAATAAATTCTTTGCTTTCTATTCCAAAAATCTCTCCTAACCTCTCCGAAATCTATTGTCATTCTTTGGCGCACTCACAGGATCGCAAAGCTTTTGAAAACCGGTCGCAGTGAGAGTCAAGTAAGCCCCCAGTTTCTGGGTGAGGGAGCGGTCAGTCTTCGCGTGTGTCGTTCCTTCGGCAATACCCATGTCCCACAGTCGTTGCTTTCTTCACGAAAATGGAGTTCCTTCCTACGAAGAAGATCTAACGTAATTGCAGTTTTCCGTGAAGCCGACAGCTAAACTTCCCAATGGTAAAAGGGATTTTTTATGACGACCGCAAGTCTTCATAGAATTCATGCATTTTTAATTCATCAGCTTATTCAGATTTTGGAAAATAGCAGTGGGTGATGCTTACGTCTGATCTGTAGAACGTTGTGTGGGATAGTAAAGGTGAAAGGTTCTCATACGGACTGAGAAGTTGGACCATAACTGGGTGAACAGGGCCAACTCTTCCAAAGCTTCTGGAACTTTCCCACCGCGGATAATGACGGTCCTTTTAATACTGTCGCATTTCCTTCCTTGTGTCCCTTGTTCCTACAAACTGATTCAAAGAGCGTACAGTCTTGGTTGGAGACTGTCTCAGCTTTTTAGTCAAGAGCATGAGGCGGTTCGCTGGAGAGTTATCTCAGACGTGCGGTTTGGCGTCTCAAGTTGTGTCTCAAGCAAGCATCCTCTTGCTATTACCCATCTGCTCGTTACTTTTCGAATCTTCTTTACATGCTGCTAAACGAGTAACTAATTTCTCACCGCTAAGGCATTACTATATCGTGCTTTCTTCATCCACAGATAATCAACGAATAGGATGAGAGACTGCCGGCAAGTTGCACCCACATCAAAGGCTACTTTTGAAACTTTATTGTATTGGGTTGTCGGGAAATTAATGTCCGTTTTGAATTTCAAACAAAATAAGTCATACTCTTCACATTTTTAGATAGGTTGCAATTCAATTCGATAGAGCAAAGACAAGTTCTAGTTTTTGGAAAATCCAGATTTTAATGTAGATCAGGAAAGGAAAGTTATACTCGCTATTTTTCGAGGATTAAA